CACATACTGATCCACTGACCCCTCAGAAAACGCTGGTTTCCCGACTACACCTGTAAATATCACACTTGTATGGACAACTCGATGGCAATACAAATTCTCTAAAATCATCTTGGAAAGGAAAGACAAATTTTAATCCATATAACCACAATCTATCCGTTGCAGTTTCAAGTAAAAATGACAGACCGGAAAAAAAGAAAAGTTAAGAAGCGGCTGTTCGGGTGACCATGGCAACAGCTGCTCCAGCACTGTTACTGGACACTGTCTCACTCCAGTACACAGCAAAGAGGTTTGTGCATATCCCACTCCATCTCAGAGCATCAAAAGGATACGTACACAGGCTGGCAAGATGGCCTGAAGAAGCTTGCCATGCAAGCCTGACAACCTGAGTTGACTCCTGGAACCCATGTCAAGGTAGAAAAAGACAATAGACTCTCCAAAGTTGTCCTCTGACCTACCTACACACACACATCCCAGACACACACTCCTATACACACAATAATAACAAACTGTATTTGTTTGTTTGCCTTTTGAGACAGGGTTTCTGTGTAACAGCCTTGGCTGTCCTGGAACTTGATTTATATACCAGGCTGGCCTTGAACTCACAGAGATCCTCCTGCCTCTGCCCTCCCAAGTACTGGGATTAAAGGGGTGACCAACACCTTTAATCCAATAAAGGTGTTTTTTTTTTTTAAATACTTTATTTTACGTGCATTGGTGTTTTGCCTGCATGTATGTGTGAAGGTGTTGGGTCCCCTAGAACTGGAGTTACAGACAGCTATGAGCTGCCATGTGGGTGCTGGGAATTGAACCCAGGTCTCCTGGAAGGGCAATCAGTGCTCCTAACCGCTGAGCCATCTCTCCAGCCCAATGAAGTTATTTTTACACACACACTCAAAAGGACAAAGGCAGGTTGGAAGCACCTACAATCTCAACACTTGGAAAGTGGAGACAAAAAGATCAAACAGTTCAAGGTCATTCTCTGCAGCATACTGAGTCAGAGGCCCACTCGAGCTACATTAAGACCCATCACCCCTCTGAACCCCTGAAAGGTATCAGACACCTAGGCCAGGATTCCTGGGTGTGAGTTTCCTGGGTCATTGGTAACCATGTTTTCAGTTGAGCCAGAACTTTCTGAAAGTCTCCACCAACTTTCACTATCTGAAGCTACATCATAATCACCAGATAATAATGTTTTAAGTTGTGAATTTAAAGGATCTTAACAAATTGTCACACTTGTCTACCTCACACCAATGCTAAAAAGAACTAATGATTCAAGGTAGACTAAAACCAAGTGGCCCACACTGACTTGAGTTGAGGTTGAGGTGTTCTCATATAAGAAAATGTCAGGCCAGAGTGCTGGCCCAGCAGTCAAGAGAGTGTACTGCCTTGCGGCTTCAAGGAGCTGATGTCTCTGGCCTCCACATCCCCACAGACAAACATACACATAATTAAAAACAATTAAAAGGGGGAAAAAGGAGCTGAAGAAATGGCTTATTGATTAAGAGCACTGGCTGCTCTTCCAGAAGACTGGGGTTTGATTCCGAGCAACCACATGCTGGTTCACAACCACCTGTAACTCCAGTTCCAGGGTTTCTGATGCCCTCTTCTGACCCTGCATACATGTGGTGCACAGATATACATGCAGACAAAACACATATACATAAAAAAATTTTTTTTAAAGCTGGTCAGTGGTGGTGCACGCCTTAATCCCAGCACTTGGGAGACAGAGGCAGGTGAATCTTTGTGAGTTCAAAGCTAGGCTGGTCTACAAAGCAAGTTCCAGGACAGCCAAGACTATTATAAAGGGAAATCCTATTTCAAAAAATAAAAAAATTAAAAAAAAATTTTTTTTTTAAATATGCCAAGTAGTGGTGGCATTCGCCTTTAATCCCAGTGTTCAGGAGGCAGAGGCAGATGAATCTCTGTAAATTCTAGGCCAGCCTGGTCTACAGAGCAAGTTCTAGCTAGGATAGCCAAGACTACCAAAGAAACTCTATCTTGAAAAACAAAACAAACAATAAATAGAATAAATCAAAGGAAATAAATAGATAAAAGGAAAAACTAAGCCGGACAGTAATGGTGAGCGCCTTTAATCCCAGCACTTGAGAGGCAGAGACAGGTGGATCTCAGTGAGTTCGAGGCCAGCCTGGGCTACAAAGCAAGGCTGTTCCAGGACAGCCAAGACTGTTATACAGAGAAACCCTGTCTCGAAAAATCAGAAATAAACAGATTAATTTAAAAAAAAAAAAAGGAGAAACTAACAAAAACAACAAGAGAGACAGTTCTGCAGATAAGAGCACTTGTTGCTCTTACAGAGGAACCTGTAATTCCCAGCACCTACACAGTGGCTCATGACTATCTGTAACTCCAGTTCCAGGGGATCCAACATCCTCTGCTGACCTCTGTAGGTACCAGACACTAACATGATACACATACACACAGCCAGGCAAAATACTCATACTACTAATATACTCATAAAAACTAAACCTTAAAAAAAAGAAAGCTTCAATTATCAAATGTAAGTTCACCCAAAAGCAGCCATTGTTTATAGTAGTCACCTATTGTTAAGAAGTATTTATGACTGAATTTCAAAGTATATGAGACCCTTGCATAAGCTACATTTGCTTATACAGACAGTATGATGGTTCAATAAGTACACAGTTTGAGAAATAACACTGCCACAATACAACCTGGACCCTAATTAACTAGCTCCTGGCTGGCCTCTGCAACACATTATTAGTCTAACCTGACCTTAACTGTTAGCCAACAACATGTACTGTCAGCATTATGAGCCAATCAGGTTCATAAAAATGTCAAAGCCAACTGAGCAGGGAGAGAGGAGGGTGAAGAAAGCTCCATCAATGAGGACAGGGCTATTCCTTAGAGAAAGTAACAATCCTCAGTTCAGGAGGCATACTGCTTCCACACTCAACTTTTTCCACCTTGCTCCAAAGCAAGAATTTTCAAGTCCTGCTCACAACTGAGAAGGTCAAAAGATAGTATCAATTAGGTCCTGTTTGAACCTAAAGTGGTACACAAACTACTTTAAGGATATGATACAAGTGCTCCATAGACAGGCAGAATAAGAAAAATCCATGCCCGCCTGGCAGTGGTGGCGCACAGCTTTAGCCCCAGCACTCGGGAGGCAGAGGTGGGCAGATCTCTGTGAATTCGAGGTCAGCCTGGTCTACAAAGTGAGTTCCAGGACAGCCAGGACTGTTACACTGAGAAACCCAATCTTGGAAAAACCAAACAACAACAACAAAAATTCCATTCACAATGGTAGAGTCCCAACTCTTGGTGAGAGCAGATAAGGAGAACGATGGATGCTTCAAAGCCACCTAAGTCCAGTCCCCTCCCCCACAGAATGCAGACCCCAAACAGTAAAGGGGCTTTTCCCGTGTCAACAATGAACCAGAAGTAGGCTCAGGCTAGAAACAGCAACTCAAGCAGACTGAATACAGTCATATTTTTCTTGTGCAAAGAACTGCTCCACCAGAAACTACTAACTACAGTAGCAGAGCTAGCAGGAGCCGACCCAAGTATTGTTTCAGAAAGTCCTTTGATGCTTAAGGAAAAACAAACATCAGAAACCTGGAAAGCACTCACCATGTTCCACAAACACGTTGCAGTGTGGACCCCCATGCCGTGATGAGTCCCTCTTCCCTGACCCCTTGATAAAATGCAGGGCGGGCAAACTAGGCCTTCTTTGGTCCCCAAGAACTTTTCCAGGCTGCTGCCCCATAAAGCAATGATAGGCACCCCTTTCCAGAAGAGGGTTCAAGATCTTCCAGAATGGTCCCACGTCAGTAACTGGGGTCAATCACAGAAAAGACAACTTCCATGAGAAAGGGAAACTGGGTTTGAGGTTCATACATGTAAACAGGAGTCTGGAATTCTTTTCCAAGTTAATTAATTTGAAGTCATGTAATCACAACGCTACCCAAAAGCTTCTTGACTTTAAGTCTATTTTGAGGGCTGAAGAACAATTTCCTTGCAAGAGGAAAATTTTAGATAGAAATATTCACAGGGAAGTGTGAAAAGGGTCAACCGTACTAAAAGTCATTTCAACTCCTCAGCGTGCTGGAATCGCTGAACGTCTTTGATGCTTCTCTGCAACTGTCCCTGTGGAAGTCACCAATCTGTCTCTCCCACAAATTTCCTGCCGCTCTCTCTTCCCTACCCTGCTCTCCGGAAAATGAGACGGGTCACACAGATCTCAACCAGAGCTTGCTCTCCACTCCGCCGAGAAGGAATGCATGACCAGCAACTTTTAAGTCCGCTTTTTAAAAGGCCTGTGAAACCAATCCAGACTTTTCCTTTGCATTAAAGTTTTGGGCTGCACTGAGACCAATGGGGCTGTAGGTGACATTGGAAGAAGTCAGGACATCGGAGGCCGGCGGAAGCAATCTGGGAGGACCGTGGAGATCGCTTGACAGCAGGGAGATGATTTGAATGGGGGGCTCCGTGGCCAAACTTGGGGTTGGAATCGAGCGAAGGGCGGCCTCGGGGAGAAACAGAGACTTCCCCAGGCGGGGCGCGGGCAGCTTACTCGGGGGCGACGCTCCTCCACGCCTCAGGAAACTGAGTGTCCCAGGTAGGTTGAAACTGAGACCACCCCGGGTGTCCCAGAGCCAGAGCGGAACTGGGAGGGACGAAGGACTCCCGCGGTCCCGAACCGGGAGGCGGCCACAGGGGAGGAGGCCCGGCGCCTCAGCTGCCCCGAGCTAGGGGTCTACCCGAGACACCCCTCCCCCGGCCCCGGACTCTGCCGCCGCCGCCGCCGAGCAGTCACATCCCCGACTCTGCCGAGGGACCCGGCTTCTCCAGCCACTGAGGGGTGTGCCGCGGAAGGGTTCCTTAGCCGCAGGACCCTACAGCCGGCTCCAGGTCCAGCGCCTCTCAGGGACAGACACCGACCCCCGAGGCCGCCATGATGGATTACGAGCAGCTCCACAACGAGGGCAGGCCCCGCCCCCGGGCCCGCCCCCAGCGACGCCGGAACACCCTGCGCGAGGTCTGATGGGCCGCCGGCGCTGCCCTCCTACACGGCGCCGCACCTTCGGGCTCCCGCCTCACTGCCCGCGACAGGCCGGCTCCGCACCACCTTTTAAAGGTAGGTTTTCTGAGCTCAAGGTGAGCGATAAGGAAGCGCCCGCCTCCTCTGCATTATCACTGGTCTTCCGATAACTGGAGTCTGTCCCCCTCACCGCCATCCAATTGGCTGTTGAGGGCGAAAGCGGCCAGCTAATCGTGTTCGGTGCTGCCGCGAGGCATGTTGGGACTTGTGGTCCTGGCGCCCATGGGCTGCTCGCCGAGGCCCTAGCCTCCCGCTCCTATAGCTAGAGGGCTGGTCCCGCCTCCTGGAAGCCGGTGGACTCTGGTCAGCCAACATCTTCACTGCTCGGGTTGCGAGACCGCGGGAGATTCAGAGCAAGGGGGAAACTACGGATTGGAGTTTTCCAGAACCGGAGTCGGATTACGTCTTTGAGCCTCGTTAGGGGAGAAACTTTGGCTTGCTCCTAGAAACCAAGATGACCAGTGCGTTACATCCTCATCACTTGGAAAAAGAATAAATATGGGAACCTGGGAAGAAGTATTGAGAAAGCAAGCATCATGATGCTTTGAGATAGGAAGAAGTTGAAGAAAGTGTTTGTTCAAGGTATACCAGGCGCGATCCTGCATTGTGTGTTTGCACTAGTATGAATCCTTACCATGACATTTCACAGTGAGACATGCATTCTCACAAATTCTAAGGCGATCGAGGCCAGCCTGGGCTACAGAGCGAGTTCCAGGACAGGCTCCAAAGCTACACAGAGAAACCCCGTCTCAAAAAACGAAACAAACCAAACAAAAAAACCAAATTCTAAGGCAAAAATTGTCCAGGTTATCAAATCTCAAAAGCCTGTGAAACTACCCCACACCTGTAAGCATTCATCTTCAGGCCCCCCTAGTCTTCACTATTCCTATTACCTGGACCCATTTCTTTTTGGTTTTTCGAGACATGGTTTTTCTATATTGCCCTGTCTGTCCTGGAACTCGCTCTGTAGATCAGGATGGCCCTGAACACAGACATCCTCCCACCTCTGCCTAATTCTGCTGGAATTAAAGACGTGTGCCACCACCACCCCAGCACCTGGACCCATTTCTAAAGGGACCCACTCATCACAGCACTCAGTCTGCACTTTTACATAAAGTGCTTTACCCCAATCCTTTTACCCATCAAGGCATGAAATGCTGTTTCCACTACACAGATGGGAAAGCATTCGTAGCTGGGATTGAAGTGTCACTTAAAGGTTGCTACTTCTTGCTCAGAAGCATGCCTTTTCTACCGCAGCATTCGGTACCAAGTAACTGGTGAGCTAACGTCAAGTTTTCAGATGTCACTGTGGAAGTTTGGGAATGCTGCAGTGATGTCTGTCCAGCTAAGCATTTTAGAAATCGTCTGCCAGGTTGAGAAGTGGCACTTTTTTTTTTTTTTTTTGAAAATGGCATTTTGGGGTGGAGAGATGGCTCAGAGGTTAAGAGCACTGACTGCTCTTCCAGAGGTCCTGAGTTCAATTCCCAACAACCACATGGTGGCTCACAACCATCTGTAATGAGGTCTGGTGCCCTCTTCTGGTGTGCAAGGGATACATGCAAACAGAACACTGTATACATAATAAATAAATCCATTTTTTAAAAAAATGGCATTTCAAGAGGCACACACCTTTAACCTCAGCACTCAGCAGCCAGATCTCTGAGTTCAAGGCTGGCCTGACCTATATAAAGTTCCAGGCCAGCTTGAGCAACATAGTGAGACCCTGCATTTAAAGAAACAAAGGGAGGTGGGTGTGGGGAAGAAAATGGCTTGTCACTTGAAATAGTCAATGTGAAGTAAAAGAAATCTTGTGCCCAGATTTACAAGTGGAATTTATAAATCCTAGTGAGTGAACTTTTGTTCCCTCACAGAATAATCTTGGTGGGTTGGTTCTGGTTGTTTTTTTGTTTTGTTTTGTTTTGTTTGTTTTTCGAGACAGGGTTTTTCTCTGTGTAGTTTTGCACCTTTCCTTGAACTCACAGAAATCCACCTGGCTCTGCCTCTGAGTGCTGGGATTAAAGGCCACCGCCTGGCTCTCGCAGAATAGTCTTCCTGTCATCTTGTTTTTATTGTAAGTTTGGCTGTTAACCTTTCTCCTGTCTTGCACTGCCAGTCTTCGGACGCCTTTGTTCCCCTCACTGACCCATTCTCATCCTAATCACTGCTCTTTTCTTTCTGAAGATTCTACTTTTTAATTCCTATTCATGCTTTAACCATTTCCTTTCCCCACCCACATTCTTCATTCTCTGGGTGAACTTTAAACTGAACAACCAAATCATAACTTTTTAAGAGATTTATTTTTGTGTGTTGTGTGTGTGCATGCATGAGTTTATGTGCACCACTATCGTGCCTATTGCCAACAGAGGCCAAAGAGCACCAGAGCCCCTGGAGCTGGATAGAGTGGCAGACATGGTTATGAGCTGGAAACCAAACCCAGATCCTCTGCAAAAGTAGTAAGTGCTCTTAATGACCAAGCCGCCTTCAATTGCAACTCTTCAATAAATATTTCTTGAACCAACATTCATTGGTTTTTGCTTTTGAGACAGGATTTATAGCCCAGGCTGCCCTCAAACTTTCTATGTAGCTGAGTGTTCTTTTGTACTTCTGATCTCTCTGCGACCACCTCTCAAGTGTCAGGATTACAGGTATGCGCCACTAAAACTGGTTCAAGCAATGCTAGGGATGGAACCCAGGGCTCAAGAATGCTAGGTGAGCATCCTACCAAAGCGTCTGCATCCCCAGTCCTAGCAACTAACGCATATACTAAGCACCTATTCCTGGTGCTGACATACAGCACTGAGGGAAGGTGCCATCTTACTCAAGGAATACAAAAGGAGGAACAGGCAGGCAAGCAGCAAAACAAAGTGATCCAAACAAAACTCAGTCTTGGAGCTGGAGAGATGGCTCAGTGGTTAATGCACTGGCTGCTAGTCCAGAGGACCCAGGTTCAATTCCCACCACCCACATGGCAACTCACAACCAGCTGTAACTCTAGTTCCAGGGCATCTGATGCCCTTTCTGGCCTTGGAAGATAGCTGGCACATCATGTGGCACACAGACATCCACACAGGCAAAATATCCATACACATTTAAATATAAAATCAGTCTCAAAGCCACAAACTACACTCTGGATCCATAGCCCTCCGTGGTTGATTCAACCTGTGCTCCTACATGGCTTTGGTGAGCTCCTTGCTAAAGCTGAGCTCTCTTCATTCCGTTCCCTAGAGTGCCTTCCTCACCTAAAAGCGGAGGGAGGGCATTGCTACTCATTGTTTCTGGTCATCTCGAGGTCCAACGTGACCTTGGTTTGGCAGCTCAGCTCTGCCTCACTGTCCTCACTGCAGGTCACCACCTGCAGTGATGCTGCAGCCTTCTCCCAGACCAGCAGTTTCCTTTCAGATGAGCTCAGCCATCTGAGGTTTTCTTCCCAGAGATGCACTACTACTCTTTGGATAATTTATTTGTTACTCTTAAAGACTTCTTTTTGACTGGACTCAGAAGCTCCCACTGAGACAGCCTACATCTGCTGACAGTTTGTTCCTGGTGTTTTCGCTGGTTTCTTATTCTCTTGGCCAGAAGTTTAACATGTTCTGTAGCCTCCTTGTTTTCCTTAGTGTGCTGTTTCTTCAGAGCAATATACCAACACCTGTGTTGCAGAATAATGGAGGAACGAGATGCTGAGTGGGTGCTTTGGTTCTCGGCTTTCTGACAACAGTGGACATCATCTTTCGAGAGACTAAAAAGCTAGCTCTTTTGGGTTCCAACAGCCAAGACAGTTGGAACAGTCAGTCCATGAATATCCTTTCTTTTTCTCTTACAGTAATCAAGTCGAAAACACTCAGGTTGCCATCCACATCCTCTCTCCAGTTCTCCCTGGTCTATAACAGGAATGCCCCTTACTCTACAGCAGGCACACTGTGCCATGGGTCAAGATGCCTTGCTTCATGGGAGCACCTTGTTTGTTGTTCCCACCACTGACTCTGACCACAAAACCCTCCACTCTTCATGCAAAGAAAGCATCAGCAGCTCTTCTGTGGCCACGTACTTCTAAAAAGTATGAAGCCTGTATTTATCATCCACTCCAATGAGTTTCTCACAGCCAGTGGCAGGGAAGGAAATATTCAGCTTCATCTTGATACAGCCAACTGCCTAAGAAGCACCATGAAAAGCAAGATGCACTACTTTTTAACACTAGAAGACTTTTAAGGGTTCAAACTACAGGCAAGTATCTGATAGGATGTTAAAACCAATGTCTGATGCATCCTGTATGGCTCAAAGAACTTTTATTAAAAGTGGTTCAATTCAATCTAACTTTGTCCTTACTTTCATAAAGCAAAGCTCAGTAACAAAACTTCAGCTGCTTTGTATACCTACTGTACAGTTACACTTACCAAGGGCGCCCTCTGGTGGGCCACAGAAAGCACATCCCCAGCTGAAGATGCTTTTGGACCTCTCTACTGAACTGCCCTGAAGCAGTCACTAAAAAAGCATGCTCAGCAGCTTGGGAGAAAGAGGTGAGGACAAATGATCTTGAATGGGACTTAGGCTCCTATTCCCATCCCCTTAAGAGGTGAACAACCGCCAAGCAGTGGTGGTGCTTGCCTTTAATCCCAGCACCCTGGAGACAGAGGCAGGCAGATCTCTGTGAGTTTGAGACCAGCTTGGTCAACATAGTGAGTTCCAGGACAGCCAGGGCTACACAGAAATAAATAGCCTGTCTCAAAAAAGAAAGAGGGGCCGGGCATTGGTGGCGCACGCCTTTAATCCCAGCACTCGGGAGGCAGAGCCAGGCAGATCTCTGTGAGTTCGAGGCCAGCCTGGGCTACCAAGTGAGCTCCAGGAAAGGCACAAAACTACACAGAGAAACCCTGTCTCGAAAAACCAAAAAAAAAAAAAAAAAAAAAAAGAGGGAGGGAGGGAAAGACAGACAGATAGAGGGTCCAGGAGTTGGAGGCTGGAAAAGTGGGGGGTGGATATGATCAAAATACATCATATTATACATTTATGAAATTCCCAAAGAATTTGTTTTTTGTTTTGTTTTGTTTTGTTTTTGTTTTTCGAGACAGGGTTTCTCTGTGTAGCTTTGCGCCTTTCCTGGATCTCACTTGGTAGTCCAGGCTGGCCTCGAACTCACAGAGATCCGCCTGCCTCTGCCTCCCGAGTGCTGGGATTAAAGGCGTGCGCCACCACCGCCCGGTTTGTTTTGTTTTTTTGAGACAGGATCTCTATGTAACCTTGGCTGTGTAGACCAGGCTGGCCTTGAACTCAGAGATCAACCTGCTTCTGCCTCAAGAGCGCTGGGATGAAAGGTGTTTGCCATCATACCCAGCATCCAAACAAGCCACTGCTCAGAGATGTCCTTGCCTAGTAATAAACACAAGACCCTAGGTTCCATCCCTAGCTCTGGCAAAAAATACACAAATGTTTTGGGCCAGTTTTGACTCAGTGGGTGAGGGTGCTTGTTGCCAAGCCTAGTAACCTCAGTTTGATCCCTGGAACACACATGGTAGGAGAGAATTGACTCCTACAAGTGGTTCTGATTTCCACATGCATGCACTCACATCACGCACAAAAATATATAAAGTGGGAAAAAATGTAAATCAGGGTACCATTTTTGGTTTTGTGTAGTGAGTTAGTCTCACTGTATAACCCAAGTTGGCCTCACCTCCTGCCTCTGCCTCCATGTGGAATCACCATGCTGGACCAGGGTACCCATTTTTAAACAGTCATAAGAGAAACAAAGCATAGAAACTGGCACTCTACACTGAGAACTTGTATCTTGTTTCTTCTAACTTTCCATTATTCAGAAGTTAATACATCACCACATCAATTACATAAGGCAACGGCTTGGCTTTTCACAGCTCCAGTTTGTTTTTTGTCAGAGCATCAAAAAGCACTGTGGGCCCAGAACACTCATTCTCTCAGTTATTGGCAATGGCTCGGCTCTTACAAACCACCTTCAGGCAGGCCAGGTACTACAGAGAATCCTGCCACTATCTCAGGGAACATCTCAGGCACTTCTTAAGGCCTCCAGGCCAGTTCCTGCTGGTGGACATGTAGGACCCGAGATGCTAGAGAAACAGGAGCAGCTCACACACAGAGGGAAGGAAGCCCAGGTAGAGGGTAGAGATCCCTTACCCTATCACCAGGACACACAGTAGCAACAGATTCCAACAAAGGCTGGTTCATTTTATTCTTCTATCCATCTGACCGCTGGCCTAACTCTACCACCTCTTCTCCAACTACACACTTCTGCATTAAAGGAGATGGAATGAAAGCCAAAACAGACCACTCGGCTGGCACTGCATGGTTTTTCTTTTTCTTTGGTTTTCTTTTCTCTGGGGTGGGGGTAAGGCTGGAAATTGAACCTGGGGCCTTTCACATGTTAGGAAAGTGCTCCACTGGAGCTATATCCCCAGCCCAGCATGTTTTCTACTGGAACAGTTTCATGGGGTGTTATGTGGCATGACTGTAAAACATGGATTCTCCAAGTTACTCCAAGATACATCATCATGCTGGGATACAATGCTCTGAGAGGGACCCGAGTGTCCGAAGCCATCATTCACTTCCACCCTGGCTTTGTCTCAGAACAGGAAAGAACAGGCCTGGCCCTGCTGCGCCACTGAAGGTGAGGAATGTGTTTGTCAGATCCTCCCTGGGCCACGTGTGGTGAAGACTGACCACACAGCAGACTCTTCCCCCTCCCAGAGAGGCTGCTCCAGAGAGTCACAGTCCCATCCTTCGGCACCTGGCCTCACCCCTCCTGTTCCAAAAGCCTCTGGCGTGTTTCTAGCATGATCTCCTCCATTACTTCTGGCTTTAAGATATCTTTAATCTGAAGGAAAACAGAAAAAGGTATGTGTTCATTCAGAAATAACCATAAGTAGAACATTAAGTCAACCAAAATGAGGCAAGGAAGCCTGGCTAACATACACTGTCTGCATGCTGCACTCCATCAGAGATTGAGCAAGGACACTGTTCCAGATCTAGACCCAGCTTAAAAAACAAGCCAGCAAAGTGCCCTGGGACAGCTGACAGAGACACAGTTCAGTCACTCATCAGAAGGTGCCTGAGGGGCTGGAGAGGTAGCTCAGGGGTTAAGAACGCTTGCTGTTCTTTCAGAAAACTCTGGTTCAGTTCCCAGCACCCACATGGCAGTTGATGGTAACCCGAGTTGCAAGGGATCTGAACCTGACATCCTCTTCTGGCCTCCGCAGGTACCAGGTGTGCACATGGTGCACGAACTTACTACACATGTGCAGGCAAAGCACCCATGCACATAAAATTTTTTTTTTTGTATTTTTTTTTTTTTTCTGGTTTTTTGAGACAGGGTTTCTCTGTGTAGCTTTGCACCTTTCCTGGAACTCGCTTCATAGACCAGGCAGGCTAGCCTCAAACTCACAGAGATCCGCCTGCCTCTGCCTCCCAAGTGCTGGGATTAAAAGCGTGTACCACCACCGCCTGGCATATTTTTTTAATTTAAGTCAAGAAAAAAAAAATCTTTCTACTTATTTGAAAAAACATCAAGAAGATGGGTGGATTTTGGAACAGGCAAGATGAAATGTGGAATGCTATTGTCATAAAAATATCCTTCCTACACCAAATCTATAGCAATGCTAGAAATATCTCAGGGAACATGGCAGGGACTCACTAAGGTTGTCTCCAGGCTAGTTCCTGCCATGGGGTATGGGAAGGAAAGTGGACTGCTGAAGGAACACGGGAGCAGCTCACACACGGGAAGGGAGTCTGGGTGGAGTACCTGATGTGCAAGGGAAGCCTCGTAGCAGTACAGGATGCTAGTGTCATACAGCATCATCCGCTGAGTTACCAGCAAAACTATGCAGTTCCGAAGCCGAGAGATCACCTCTCGATCACTAAGGGCTACCGGCTACACAGGGACACAAAGGGGAAGGGAAAAGACATAAATACAGGATCCAGATAAGCAAACAGCCCCAGAAGCCCCAGAAGAGAGAAATCACACTAATTTCCACCATGAAACTCCATGCCACCCTGGTGTTGGGATAATCTTTTTGCACACTGGCTGGCAGGCAAGCCCCAGGGATCCTCTTGTCAACACACACACACACACACACACACACACACACACAGCACTGGGATTACATGTGCACCAACACATCTGGCATTTGTACATGGCTTCTGGGATTTGAATTCAGGTCCTCAGGCTTAAGTACTTTACCACCTGAGCCATTCCCCGACCCTCTGTTGCTTCTTCAGTGGCTCTCTGGCTATTACCCTGTAACTTTGCCACCGTCACAAAGCTCAGGGCAGCCACTGAGTCATCTCTTCAGGGAAGACAAGTCAATCAGGTGCTCATGAACACTCTAGCTCAGACTCAGAGCATAGCAGTTTCCTCAGTCCAGACGGTGAGTGACCACACGCCGCATGAGGCATCACACAGCAGCTCACACAGACAAAACCACTGCAGTGCTGCAGCACCTTCTGAGTACACTTGCAATGCTCTACAGCGACAGAATCACCCAACGCTGCAGTTCTCAGAACACAGCCTACATGTTAAGTGCCACAAGACTATTGACATAAAGTCAAAACAGGACTCAGCAGATAAAAGCACTTGCTGAGTAGACTCCCAAAACCCACATAAAAGCTAGGCAGAGCACAAAAGTCTGTAATCCCACCACACCCATCAGGAAATCTTCAGAAGCTCATAGGCCAGCTAGCAGAGACCTTCACAAACAAGGTAGAGAAATGCATGGATCAACAGCTTGTCCTCTGACCTCTAATGTATCATGGCACATGATACCCACCATCTCTGTCTGTCTCTCTCTCTCTCTCTCTCTCTCTCTCTCTCTCTCTCTCTCTCACACACACACCAGATTCTACCTGCCACAGATACTCTCAACCAACAGCTGCAATGATGCTCACTCACCTCCAGGTTTGCAATGAAGCCTCCAGCATCCTCATCTTTGTGCTCGGGTGTAGGGTAGATCCAGATGAAACCATTGTTACCCAGAATAACCGAAGCACCACACGGCAAGTCGTGGAAATGAGTCTTCTGTCGTTTCACCAGGGAAGGAGACACCTGGACTAAAACTCCCTGACCTAGCTAGAGACAGACCATAAGGCAGGCATGGTAGCATATGCCTTTAATCCCAGCATTTGGGAGGCAGAGGCAAGCAGATCTCTGTGAGTTCAAGGCCAGCCTGGTCTACAGAGCAAGTTCCAGGATAGCCAGGGCTACACAAAACCTGTCTCAAGGCAAAACAACAACAACAAAAGAAAAAAGGAAATGGATCAGAAGCCAGGTAGGGAAGCACAGCATCTGAGAGG